AAGTCCACCAATTAATTAATTAAAAACATCTGTTTTTCTCTCTAGTGAAATTCAAATTTTGAATAAAGGTATTTACATTACAAAGACATATATATTTTTTTGAACAGTGTATAATTTGGGGGATGGGAGAATGGAGTTTTTAAAATGATGGTGGAGTTCAAACTCCAACCATTTCACCCAAGTGCTTTAAAATTTAAAGTCGAACCATTGAATCTAAAAGTTCGATTCATTACAAAGACATATTAGGGATAAGTGTCTGTGGTCAGTCTCAAAATTACAATCAAGATATCACGTCACTAAGCCCCGATTCATGGGTAGCATGGCAGAACACGCGTCTTAGGTTTTTTTTTTTTACAAACAATTATTACTTGTTAACTTTAATTATTTATGCCAATAATTAAAGTAATTCAGTTATTATTATTTTTTTGTTGAAAGTAAAAAGTTTTGAGTTTAAGTCGCATGATATAAGTCGTATGGTATACGGGTGAGATAAAATAAAAAATAAAAAATAATTATCTCTCATTGTACAATCAAAATATAAAAAAAATTAATTATTTATACCATAAATTATAATTTTTTTAAATGATATCACGCGTAAATGAATAAAATAAGGTCACATTAAATTTATTATCAGATCACTTACATCACTTGTTGCATAAAAATTTATTTTAAAAATTAATAATAATCATCTGATTAATTATAGTTTAAATTAAAAAGAAACCGAAGTTCCTATAACTTAGGAGAAAGTGCAGTTGGGGGTTGAGATAGCCTTGACCAAGTCCTACTTATGTGATTACCTATTTTCAAAAGAAAAAAAAAAAGTCCTACTTATGTGTATTTTTTCTGAGAAACTGTGCATATTCTATAACAGCCAATGAGTGAGATGGGAGAACAATTCGCAAACAACAAATAAAAATGAAAGTTTTAGATTATTCAACACTCAACTAGCTTTACACAGAAATCAAAACTAATTTTACAACTCGGAACTAATTTTAGCATTCTTAGATTTTTGCTTTACCTTATAAATTTTATCTTCCAACATAGTATTTTGTAGATTTTAAATTATTTTCAATATTCATATAGCTAAATTAATTCATATATTTGCTTCTACAACTTTATCTCATGTAATGGAGAGGGAGTAGTTTAATATCTATAAGGTATTATTTTTTTTTATCATTGTTTATTTTAAATTTATGGTAAGTGGTGTTTTTTATAAAATAATGATTTATATGACGGTTACACTTTTTTCTTGTTTTATTTTCCATATTAGTTCAATTTTTGCTCATACATAATTTATGGTTAATTAGTTTTAAATTTTCAATTTTTGATAATTTTATCAGCAAATCTATCTATCGACATAAGCTAATCTAACTTTGAACATGGAAGTTTTTTTTTTTTTTTTTTTGACAGTCAAAATTACATTAGTTGTATTAGTATCTGTTCAAAAAGGAGAGGGAATGTCAAGCACTAAGCTCGACCTGGAGAGCAAGGTGCCCCACTTCACTTCTCAAATGAGAAGCGTGGCCACTGGGCCACATAGTGGTGAGCTTGAATATGGAAGTTTTAATTAAGACGTGTTTATCTTTTGTAAGTCTACTTTAATTTGCATTTCATTCAGGATTTATTAATTTTAAATTCATAATATTTGTAAAATCTTTGGAATTGTTCAAAGTAAATTAATAACTCATTCTACAAGAAAACATCCCTCCATCTTACAAATTATTTAAAGGTACAAAATTAAATATTAAATCAATGTTCTTCTAGCCATCTTGATGAAAGTCGATCCTTTGAAAAAAAAAAGTTATTGGGAAAATTCTTTTCTCTTACTTAAAAAAAAAAAGTAAATAACACGTTTGTATCCAGATTTATCTCATGCGAAATCACTTGAGGATTTTTGAAAAACACTAAATAAATAAATTAGTATTTTAAATTATCAATTATCTAAATTATTAATTGTCAATTATCAATTATATAAATTATTAATTATCAATTATCAATTATATCTAAATAGTTAATTTAAATAACTCTTAAATTGCACAATTAATGTGAGTGCGACCTCAGCAGATGATCTGCTTCGTTGTATGTTTGACTCTTATGCATCC